AAAGGGTTTCCGACATGGTTGTGTTGTTCTTTGTGAGTGTGAAGCGCTACGGCAGAAATGTGATCACTGATTTGCTTCCACGCTGCTGAAGCAGAGGAAGTGTTAGATTCTGGTCCTGACATTTTTAGACTTACATCGTTGCTGTTACAGTTAGAACATGAATCAGGATTGGTTTAGTGAGCAAGTAGTTTACAGCAGTAACACACTTGATCACAACATGTCTGTGAAGATTCTCAGTCATCCAGGTCATAGTTATTCTCATAGATTAATTGTAGCTCCTTGAGTTCCTTGAAGATGTTTCACCTCTCATCCAAGAGGCTTCATCAGTTCGGACTGACTAGTTCCAGGACTCAGTAGTCCACCTGCATCTTAAGGACAAAGGACACTCATTTGAAGACAATAATGTACAGAGTTTGGCCAGAGAGGACAGATGGTTTGAGAGAGGGGTGATAGAAGCCATCTATGTCAAACTGGAAAGACCATCCCTCAAAGAGGTGGAGGTCTGAGGCATCACCTCTCACCTGAAACCACATTCACACTTAGCCACAAAAGATCCTAACCAACCCCATTGTGGCAGGGGGAGAACTAGCAACTCGCATAACAAGGCGGAGGAGCAACAAACCCCGAACTGAAACCGAAACTCCAGTGATAATGGCTCCTTAAGGATGTAAATATCAGGAACTCCCAACTAGTCAGTCAGAACTGGTGACGCCTCTTGGATGAGAGGTGAAACCTCTTCAAGGAAATCAAGCAAGTCCAGTTCCTACGATTAATCTACGAGAATAACTTGATCACAACACCAGTACTTTGCCAGTGACGGTCATGTTGTCGTGCACAACCCAAGGCCTTAAGCTTCATTTATATTTGGGTGTTGAACCTATGCCATAGATGGAGCACAAGTATGTTGTAGGCAAGTGTTCAAGGATTTGTTTGCTCTGCAGAAGGATCCACTGATCAAATGTTCAAGTGTAACCCAAAATTTGTGCCATGAAAGCACAAAGGGTGATTACCCAACAGCTACAGTATAGTGCATGCTCAGAATGCCGATCTAGTCAGCATGTTTAAAACACATCCTCCAAAGTGGACTCTAAGTGGCCTAGAAAGTACTGCAGAGTAATAGCAGCTATGCATACTTAGTGTGCACAGCTGTGCATGTGTCCATCTGCAAGAGAGTATCATCAAGTCTTTAGCCTGATGTGTACCTAGAACTGTAACTAGACGTCATAGCAACACAGATTGCAACAACTGAAATTTGTCTGCTTGATAGTCATTTTCTGTATAAATACCACATATTGATTTGCAAAAATTAATGCTTCCTTAAAATAAAATGTGATATGTTTTATTAGGCTGTAACTATATTTATCTTGTTTGTAGTACCAATAGACTCAGTTGGCTCCTCTTTTTTCTGTTTTAGTAATTTTAACAAAAGCAACTGTTTTTAACATTTAACTTCAATATCAACATGATCTGCTGTGTTTCAGTGCACACTGTTTGAATTATATGAAGAAACTCAACACAATGGTATAGAAACAAAACTGCTCACTATTGTTTTGGTGGTGTTATTACAGTGGCATTCACAGAATTACAACAGACTGGGGAAAAAAAGTACCTCATTTATAGCATCTGCCTAAAAAAATCAATAAATACATAAAAATACATTTTTAAAAAAAGATAATCCGAAGAGTAGGAGGTATAATTCTGTGCTGGTTTTTGATATTTGGGTTTTGCTTTTTGTGTTTTTGCTTTTTGGCAACATCACCTGTGTATGGATCTTTCAAAAACGTTATTCTATTTGACTGTAAGCACATACCAAAAAGAAATGTATGCTTCGCAATGTTAATATACTTGATACAGTAATATATAAAATGTAGTTACTTTTTATCATGTAATGTGTTATTATAAAGCATTGCATGTCAAGAATAGTATCAAGGAAAATGAGCTGATTATTGTGACATTTAGCCAATAGGGATCCTGTAAATAACAAATAACCAAACATATATTGCTGTAAAATAATGATTTTTTTTTTCAGAAGTAGATTTCACCATGACGGTATAGTATCCATATTTTATTTCACATATTTAAAATCACTGACTGGGATAAATCCACGGTTTAAAAATGCAGCTGAGGCTGGAGCTGCTCTCTATATTGTGCACATGCATTGTGAAGAGTGTGTCCTATGCATGTTCTGACCTTGCAGTGCGAACAGCAAAATGTGATAGCAGCCGACCATAAATCACTGTCAGAGCGCAGACTGTTCCAGCCACATCCAGGTAATCTATTTGTCCCGGTAAAATATGGTGTAATTTGTTCCGGGTTTCTTGCAGGACCAGCAGAAAAAAAAAACCAACCATTCGGGCTGCATCTTATGCATATGTGGTATTTGCTGGCAGTGACGGCTTAACCCAGTATCTGCACCTCTGATTCACATCCTTTGCCCTGATCATTGTGAAGAGTCTGTTACGTATTATTTGATGCATTTAAAGAGAGCTGCAGTACGTGACAAGCTTTAAAGACCTACATGTTTAATAGCATGCAGCTCTACTGAAAGCTTTCAGGGGGCAGACGTCGTCATTCTGACATCAGTGCTCAATATTCTTCGACTTTAATAAAATGTCCTGTTTCTCACTCTCGTCATCAAGCCCTAGTTTCCAGTTATGTAACGTTACGTAACTTTGTGATCAGCAGCTTTGCTTGAGGATGGGATCGGTACATCAGCAGCTTTATAGGTTATTTGAAGGCCTTTTAGTGCTGTACATCCAAAAAACTGATTTTTATTTAGTGCTTTCTCATTTGCTTTTGCAGTGAATGCTGAAGAATTGTTACCACGGTTCCTTATTTATCTCAAAGAAAAAGTGTTGCACAAGCGACTGGGATGGAAATCACACATCTGAGCTCACACTCAGATCATGAGAGCGAATGCTGCTGTCCTCTTAATGGGTCTTTATGTCGTGTGGGGTCAGCAGTGCATTAGAAGAACATTTCCTTATGTAACGACCGTCTCACCCCACACAAGTACTCAGCAGCAGCTTAATGGATTAAAAGCGAGTGGGTCGGAGTGAGGAAATCAAGTTTACAGAAAGAACGGAAAAAGTTTTGAGCTTGTGCTGGTTTCTGGGTCAAAATCACAATCAAATGCTTTATTAGCCAGACTGAGTTACGCTCCAAATCCTAAATCTGCAGGATCCCAGCTTTCAAATAAGATCACAGGTCCAGGCTGGACACAGATGGACATTTCAGAGACGTAAAAGACACTACGCCGTACACATCCATCCTCAAGGGTCTCATCTCTGGACATGTTTGGGAAACAAGCAAATCAATCAGTGTCAATTAGAGCTGCGTTCAAAGCCAACCACATCCTGGGAGTCGGCCGTTCATTCTGCACTCAACAGCAGGCAACGCAATTACGCTGCAAAACCATCTCAAGGGCTCCGGGTCTGAGAGGATGAACTGGTGCCTATAAAAGGCTCTTACTGTCTTTTATCTATACCACTCTCAGGTACCCCCCCTGAGCAGAGACTTTCAGTGAGCATGTGAGAGGGCAGCTACACTGGAAGCTCTCTGTTTCTTTCATGTTATGGGTATGTCCCTGTCAGACGCCACAGTTTGGGATGCCATTCTACATAAGTACGCTGATCTTCAAAGCCTCTCTTCTGCTCCTCTCTGCTGCACATCCTCTCATTCTGATACTTCTCCAATGAAGTGGGAGCAGCAAGAGCTGTAGCAGTCATTGATTTCCCAGCTACAGCCTGTACAGTCACTTCCTCCCCAACCAAGGTGAGAACGCTGCACTTTAGCAGCTGAGACTGAGTTAGATTGGGAGACGTGGGAGCATAATCACATTTGACTTGCAGTGTGAATTACAGAGGCGGGATGCAGATCCTTTCTCTCACACTGGTATAACGATGCTATATTTGATACTTCATTTGCATGCAGACAAACACGCTTGCATCAGTGTATACCTCAAGGAAATGAACATTCACACAAAGACTGCAAAGAAAGAAAAGACTCCCAGCTTCCAGGTCCCATGCTGGCGCAGACATATGCTGCTTAATTCTTTATTGTATATTTTATCATAATGCAAGAAGGTGGAATAAGCTAGTAACAGTGAACACTGACTTCAAATAATCAACTATTGCTATTACATTGCAATCACATGAAATTTAAATTGCATTCACTCCTTTGGCGTGACGTTTACATCGATGATATTTGTGTATAAATCATAGCCAAAGGCACTTCATGGGGATTCACATTACAGAGAATAAACAGATCATTAAAGAGTGCAAAAACCACAAAGTGCATCTTCTGAGGCAGAACGATGATTTGTGTTTTAACCTGTTTTGCGGCATAATAATGTCAGAATTTCAAAGCTGTTTCATCATGGATGGCTTTTTAAATACAATGTCTGCCCTGTCTGTTTTAATATTTTAACAGGAGTTGCTTCATGTTTCCTTTTCATTAATTTTCTGTTTTGTTGTTGCTATTTTTTTATTTTATTTATTTATTTAGTCTGGGGCTGTTAAATTTGAAATGTATTTGTTTGAAAGTTGGAGCAGCATGTTGTGTGAGGGCAGGCGTTAATATCACTGATGCCCTGTTATGGTTGGATGCTCGCGGCTTTTGTATTTTTGCACTTTGTGGCCCCAGTCGTGATCGGTTTCTGTGGCAACATGATTTTGAAAATAGCTCCCATCTCTAACGGCCCACTGCTGTCGCAAGTTCTCCCGGCTGTAGCCCACTCTTGATGCATGACTCATTCATTGCTCATTATCATCCCACTCTCATTTCATCCTACCCAGGCTCCCCTGCTTGGATATCTGATGGCTGTGTGTGGGGGCGGGGTAGAGGCTACTATAAAGCCGCTGTGTCCCTGCTGCGATTGGCTGGTGGGATCCATTTAATCTGCTGTGGCTGCTACAGGGCCCACCCCCATACTCCTCCCCCTCTCTCTGTCCGCCCTGACAGCATCCATACACAACAGTGTGCTGTCTCTGTTCCAGGGAGAATATCAGCTCTGCACAGGGAGGAGAGGATTAGCGCAACCACTCAGCTCATCTGCATATACGTTCCCAGAGAACCACATGAGCACCCAAGGCTGCACCTCTTTTGTATAAAACCTGGCACTCCTATCACAGAGGCTCCACTTGATCTACTCTCACTGCTGTGAGATCATTTGATAGGAACCACAGTTTTTTTTGTTTTTTGTTTTTTGTCTTTTTGACTCTTTTTAAATGATTTATAGAATTTTAATTTGCATTTTGTTGCCTGCAATGTCTCTGTTTAACTGGGACAATGCAAGTAATACTGTTTGATATGTACTTGCTCTGAACATCAAGGAGTTTACCCTTCATTTTTTGGGGACTTTTTCCAACTGGGTTTCTTTCTTCATCTGGTTTTGGAAGACTGCAGCTCCAGAATGCCATCTAGAGAGTCCTACGAGGTAAACAAGGAAGAGAAGCCTCTGGTGCAAAAGGCCAAGCGAGAGGCCAATCAGGAGGATATTCTGGCGGCAGCTCTGGGAATGAGGATGGGGCCACAAAAACCTTCAGCCACTTTCTGGCAGCCACTTAAACTATTCGCCTATTCGCAGCTCACCTCACTGGTTCGCAGAGCCACGCTGAAGGAGAGCGACCGGACGCCCAAATCTGAGAAAGTCCACAACTTCAAGGTGAGACTGAGTGAACTAACACAACGCTTGTCAGCTGTTGCGTCTGTAAAACATTGGTTTAATTTCATCATGTGTGGCCAGAGGGCTGCTTCTCTTGCTTCCCTTGTGGGAGATGGAAAAGGGGAGGAGGGGGTGTGTGTGTGTTGCTGAATGGGAGAGAGGGGATGAAAAACAGAGCTGTTTTTGGTCTGTCCAGTGAGCCTTTATCAAAAGAAAATCTGTTTGGTGGTCGGTGAACCACTGCTGTTAGTTTGAGCACCAGATGGAGAGATTAGGCCGATGGAGAGGGGAAACAGTGGAGGACTGTAACCCTGTTTGGCTCAGGCTCACTCTCCTAGTTTGGCTGGTTAATGGGATGGAGAGCACTGAGAGAAATATTGAGGCTTTCAAACTGCTGATGCTCACTGCTCCCTTTCTACTGCTTTGTTCTTTTGCTTTGCTGAATGATGCATTTTAACCTTTAAGAGTGGGTGAAAGTATTCTAATGTATTGATACGCAAAACATGTGATGCAGTTGTGCCGCTAAAATAATTCCAACTTTCCAACTTAATTAGAAAATCCATCTAAAATTGTAATTGTTAGATTCTGGAAACATGAGAAAGAAGTGTCAGATGATAGTACTCCAGGTGACTGACAAAACCACTGACATCAACTTTCTAGGTGACCATTGATTGCTATTTTGTACCACAACTACCTCTACAGTGTTATGCACGCCGTAAACTAGCAATACTATACAAAATGGCTTTCATGCTGCTGCTGCTGCTGCTGTTGCTATTGACTTAATGCAAGTATACTGGGAGAGTTGTGGTTTGCTCGCTCTCCCAGAGGCCTCCCTGATTGGCTGGTCTGTTGTTACCTGCTGGTTCCCTTTCCTATACACGAGCCAGGCGGCCTTCTACTGTTTCCATAGAAGAAGAAAAAAATCCCTGACAGCTTGCACCTTCTCTCTGCTGAAGTGTCACAACCCAGTGTGCCACCACGGCAAATCCTCTGCCGCTGAAAGTCACGGCCTCAGTGTTGTCAGTTCAAACAACAATCCTCCTCCACACACCGATCATCATCCTCCTCCACTGTGTCATCGAAGATGGCAGCACCCACGGGTCTCCCGGCAGGCTGAGGGAGGGGAATGGGGTGGACACGGAGTAAATGGCTGCGGCTACCCACTGCTCTCTTTCTATCTTGTCATTGCACTTCGTCGCTAATATCCGTCACTGTCCTCCTCTCTGTTGCAGGTCCACACCTTTCGGGGGCCTCACTGGTGCGAACACTGTGCCAGTTTCATGTGGGGACTGATGGCTCAGGGGGTCAAATGTGCAGGTATGACGTGTTTACAGCTACGCTAAGCCTTATATAAACCGCCCATTCACTTCCCAGCTTGATTAATTTAAAGTGAGCATTGCTGTATGTGGGTTACTTGGCTTTTAGAGCATCTGGAGCTGGATTATTCAGTTTTAATCTAAACTCTCAACAGTAGTTTGAGGATTAGCGGTTGTATAACAGACTGAAACCAGGACTCCACAGCTGTGACGTAACGGATATGATGTAAACACCTTATTTTCAACCTACTTCTTTCTTCTCTGAGTTTGTGAGTGCGGTTCAAACGCGCGGAAGAAAGAGTTTTCAGGGATGTCAGAGAGATTTTTCTCAAAGCTAAAAATAATGACTGCATGTTTTTGCTCAGGCCTCAGCTCTTCTTCCCATCCTGTTGTTATTATTAGAACAACAAAGGCTTTCTGTGTTTCCACTTTGATGATTTTAATGGAACATTTATGAAATTTTAAGCCTGGGAACACACAGTGGGACAAATACAAAAAATAATGGGTTCTAAAGCTCAGCTGCAAGAATTTACATGGATGTATTTTGTGATTATTTAAGAACATTTTAAGAATATTCAGACAATCTAGGATCATTTTTAGTCTTTTGAGTTGCAACATGCACACATGTAGAGCTGTTACTGAATGGTTCGAGTGTATTGACTTACTTGTCTGTCACATACTCGGATGAGATTTCTATTTCACCGTAGTTCTTGTAAGAATTCGTTTCCCATCCCAGAGTTGCGCTATAATATAGTCGGATGTGCGTCTTTGATGTTTTATTGATGAAACAAAGTGTGTCACACAAATCTGCGGGAGCTCTGCCGTTAATTATTAATGTCTTTATTTTGAAAGCCGACAACAATCGAGATAAAAGCACATATGTTTGGAGCCAATCTTTATCAGCTCTGCACACTGCCATTCCTTCAGACTCGACCAAAGCTCCCAGAATCTAGGGCAGCAAAGTCTCACATGATGCTCACATTTGCATACCAAAAAATGTTCTCCCGCCCCCTTTTCTTTTTGTATGTGTGAACTGTTTTTGGCCGAGTGCCAGAGAGCCAGCCTCTGCTTGTGCTTGTTGTGCCACATTTCCTCATCAGAGTACGCCCCCCAGCCTCATCCCATCATGCCCATGAAGGAAAACAAAGCTGGCATGTCTCTTTAATGAGGAGAGGAGCTGGGAGTGCGGGGAAGGAGCTCTGTTTCCACACATTAAAATTCAGCCGGCTTCAACCAGAGAGCTGGGTCGCACAGCTCAACCTCTATTTAACTTAAATACTTGATAGAAAAAAAAAAACAAAACCTAGAAAGTTCCTGGTAGTGTTTTTTTCTGTTTTTAGCCCCAGTTCAAAGGGGAACCGGTTTCAACTGGTAGCTAGACATGGTGATAATGTGCTGATTAGAAAATGAGCAGCCAGTCACCATTAAACCGCCTCTCAAAAGTGAGATGCAGCCTCCTCACCATAGCAACAGAAGACAGGGCTGACAGTGCAATAAGACAAGCATCCCCCGTCTCCAGGCTCCCGGTGTCCCCTGGGCTCACCCTCACCCACCCCACCTGGGACCCAGGGCCATCGGTGTGCTCTCATGGACAACATGGAGCTCAGCGGGCTTGTATGTGATGACAGGACCTCCACTATTATACTGCCTGTCTCATGTCCTTAAGAGAATCATCTCTTAAGGTAATTACATTTCTGCATCAATGCATATAAATTCAGGCTGTGTGAATTTCTCCAGGGACCCATATTAATCAAAATATTGTGAGGTCTCCCCCAGAAACGTATAGAGTCTGAGCTTTCAGAAGCAGCTTTTTGATTTAATATTGAAAAGAAATCGTTCTTCTAAGGGATCAAAATAATTTTGTTTTTTTTAATGTTTTGGAATCAAAAAAACACATGGCATTCGTCACAAAGAAAACCTTTTAGAACTTGGAGATGGCTCAGAAGATCTAAGAGCTTGAAAAGCTGCCCCATTTTAGTCTGGGAAAGTAGGTCTACTGTAGCCCGCAGCGCCGCAATCGCTGCTTCCACAGCCATTGTGTTGAGCTCGGATTTGGAAAAGAATAGAGCACGCAGCAGCGCTGGTCGTCCCTCCTCCGGGCCACGGCGTGTTCAGTGTTCCTCTAATTCCCTACATGGGTCTCTGTTACAAAGCAGAGCTGCAGTCTTTCTCTGCATCTGCTCTCGACGGACACCTCTATTCCCGACAAGGTGAATCCTGCCCTGGAACAGCTGTGCCTCGGGCCCCATCTTCTGTGACTGAAGACAAAACACAATGTGGGGTACTTACACTAACATCATGACTAATATACTATTTAACCACCCAGTGAGGCGCGTCCTATTGTTTCATATTTGGCACCTTTTTAAATAATTAAATGGCCCTCTGGAGGTGACAGCCCAGCGCTCAAGGTGACTCCAATGCCGTGTGAAGCGGAGAGAAAGAGCTCTCCAGAGGTCTCGTGACATTTCAGGGGCAGATATTGATCAAGGGGGATTAACACGTTTCTACAAGCCAAAACACACATGAAACCAGCGAGATAAATCAAAATGAACCTGCCGTTGAATGGCACGCAGTGGCAACGACTAAATGAACTGCAAGAAATCATTCAGCTCGCTTTATACGGTTGATGAATTCCATTGTGCAAATAAGAACATCACCTTCCTTTCATTGTGACTGTTTAGAGCTGCCTGAACCAAACTCCTCTGTGTGTGTGTCTCTCTACAGATTGTGGTTTGAACGTCCACAAACAGTGCTCGTCTCTGGTGCCCAACGACTGCAAGCCGGACCTGAGACACATCCGTAAAGTTTACAGCTGCGACCTGACGACGCTGGTGAAAGCGTACAACACGGCCCGACCCATGGTGGTGGACATGTGCATACGAGAGATCGAGTCCAGAGGTCAGTTTAAGACGCTCCTGATGTGTGTTTGGCTCAAAATGAGTCTCGTGTTCCCCCAAAGATAAACGTGGTAAATGTATTTCTATTCAACTGATTTTACATCCTCAGCTATAATACTGGACTCTGATTGGCTGACATTAATTGCATTCAGCTGGAACATTTCCAATAAAGGATTATGGAATTATAGAAGCAATGAACATCCATAATAATTGAGTTAACATCTTTCAATCTTACCACTGTCTTTTGCTGCCATATGTGAAGTCAGGAAACTATTGAGTTACCCTGAAATTATAGATTCAAAAAAAAAAAAAATTTAAAAATGCAGCAAGTTCAAATTGCATTGCTTGATCAGCATTTATTTATTTATTTTTAGCTGATATGACACAAAAGAAAGAAAGAAATCAGGCCCAAGGATTGTGTTCTTTGTCTTGCATTAGATTATTGTGCACACTTGTTGTAAAAAAGGCTTTTCCTTAATTTTGTAGTAAGTAATCTGCAATATATACCACTTAGGTTGAAGTGCTAAAAGTCTGATTCAATTACTGACTGACTTAATGTTGTGTGTGTGTGTGTGTGTGTTGGAGGGTGTATGACTGAGAGGAGCGATGAGATTGCTGGTAATTGTAAATGTGTAATGAGGAATACATTACTCTGTTTCCTGCTGCCTTAGTTGATTGCATTTCAGTTAAATCATTCAACTATGTAGGAAACTCGTTGCTCGCTCATTGTCTGCCCTCTAATATACGTCTGAGGCTAAGTTTGATTTATGTCTTTATTATTTTGCCCAGTGATGCAGAAAACTATTTGCATCTGCCCATGTTGTTCCACCGTGTGACACTGTGGACATTTTATCCTTAATTCCTTATGCATATTTAAGAGCGTTTAATGGCATTTCCCTAAATTGCCCCCACGTTGACGTATGCAGGTGAATTTTTCTACATTACTCGTGACAGCGTCTGAAAGGTTGTTTGTTTCATGTTTGCTCCTCAAGGACTGAAGTCGGAAGGCCTCTACAGAATATCTGGATTCAGCGATTCGGTGGAAGAAGTCAAGATGGGATTTGACAAAGGTTGGTCATCGCATGTTTTATAGATAGCTGTCAGCTCACAACATGACAGGAGACACTGCGTGCTTGCATATGTTTGCATGAGACACGCAGAACACTTCAGATTAACGAGGAAGTGACACATTTGTGAAGGATTAGTGTCCATCTGGGAGCGCCAATCTCATCCTGACATGTCGCTCTCACGCAGACTTTCACTGTGTGGACAGACAGGGGGCACCTCAGGGGTTACAAACCATGGATGTACTCTCACTGCCTTAAACGTAGCCATGAGAAGAAAAAAAAACTCTTGGCTGTGTTGGGATTCAGTAGTAGACTTAGTCTGTCTTGGCCCAGTGCAGTGTGAATTTTAACTGTAAGAAAAAACCCTGCAGCAGTGGGCTAAAGTCTGCATGTGGGAGATCATCCATGACAGAGTGTCATTCCAGCTCACAGCACTGTGATGTTCAGTCTGCCAGCACAAGTAGGCCATGGCCTGCTCTGAAACGCATGCATAACCGAGGGAAAGTCAGAATAAAACAGGCCAGGCGGATGATAGCAGCTACTTTGCAAAAATATAGAGCGAGAGTGGAATCTTTTTTTTTTTATCTTTTACCACCACCGTAACACAGTCTCTTTATTCCTCAGTTCACTCTGACGTGAAAGTGCTGATGTGAGCCATTTTTTAGTGTGAAAACTTCTTCTTCTTCTTCTTGTCTCCCTTATTCCGTCTTCACAGATGGCGAGAACACAGACATCTCAGTGAACGCCTATGAAGACATCAATATCATCGCGGGTGCGCTGAAACTGTACCTCAGGGATTTGCCTGTTCCTGTTATCTCCTATGATGCCTACCCCAGGTTCATCGAGGCTGCAAGTACGTCACAGCCAGACAAATTACTCAGACGCACACCTGTATATGCAGTGTTTTAAATGCACCAGATGTCAGCTGCAGTAAATTAGCCTGAAGAGGGTGAAAAAAAAAAAAAAACAGTGAGTGAGCAGCTTCATATAGCTTTAGGTATATTTCTTTGTGCAGTGTTATGAAGTTGCAGCACTGTTCATGTTCTTCAGCACTTAAAGCGACTGTAAAAATGTGTCCATACAACTAACTTCTCTGACTCAAGTGACTTAAAACTAACTCTTGAATAAATATCCGACTGTGTGCTGAATTTGCACTAAACACTGTTGGCTTGCATCAGCTGTCTAAAGCAGCATCTCATCCTCTGGTTTCCTCTCAGAGACTAATGACTGTTACTTCATGACCAAAGGTCGCTGCACTGATTCCTGTCTGTGTCCTCTGAGGTCAGAGCGTCGTCTGTCCACTCTAATAACGTTTCCTCCTTTCTGTTTCTCAGAGCTCACGGATCCGGAGAAGAAGCTGGAAGCTTTCCGAGAGGCTCTCGCTCTGCTGCCGCCGTCGCACAGTGAAACTCTCAAGTACCTCATGGCCCACTTGAAAAGGTAAATAATCCAGGAAAATTCTTGGGAGCTGAGGGAAAATACTGCAATTAATGAGAGGAGGTCAGAGAAGGGTATTTTGTTTTTGGTTCAGTGGTGTTTTATTCCTGTCATTTACTCTGCAGCAGCTCCTACCTTCTCTTTATTCTGCTTCTTAGCAGAAAAATAAAACAAAATGCAGCAAAAATGTGTCACATGCAGTGCTGATGACAACTTATAGTTAAAAAAAAGTGTTGTTTTATTATGTTTTTTACTTATTTTACTTGTGCACTGTGTAGGAATAGTTTTCTCATTTTTATACTATTGTTTATAAAGAAATAAATGATCTTAAATCGTTCTTTTTATTCACAATATTTTCCAACCCCTCCAAAGTGACTCATACAGCCAACTCTTACTGGCAGGTTGCATGTATTCTTCTAACTTTTTTACGCTCATTGCAGGGTGACGCAGAACGAGAAGTTCAACCTGATGAACGCGGAGAACCTCGGCATCGTTTTCGGGCCCACCCTCATGCGGGCCCCCAACCTGGACGCCATCACAGCGCTGAATGACATCCGCTACCAGAGACAGGTGGTGGAGGTGCTCATTAAAAATGAAGGGGCGCTCTTCTAAAACACAGATCAGGACTTTTATAGAACAGCTCTCTAATCATTCTTTTGTGTAAAGACTTGAAATGACTGTTTCTATTCCACTGATACGTTTGTTTTTTTAAAAATGCCTTGTGTATGGACTAGTGCTGACCTAACATCTGTCCTCTCCCTGTAACCGGGCGCTGGATGATGAACCTTACACTCGTACGTACTTTATGTCTCCCCATTTTTGTCGGGGGATTTTCCGAAGCTGACAGACCCGCATGCATGGTGCAAGGTCTTTGTTGCTTTGTAGTCGTAACCCAGCATGTGTTCAGATTGTGTAGCGCTGTGATTTTTTTCTTTCGTCTGTTCCGTAGTAGTTATTTCCACGCTCCCGGCTGCCTGCCGCGCAGCTATTTCCGTGAAACTTTGTATAGCTGGATGTAAAAAAAAAAAAAAGCTACTAATTTTTTCTGGGGGTAATTTTTATGATGCTGTATTTTTTTATCTCCTCAAATGTTTGTACGTCACCTGCAGTTCTTAGTTGAATGAGCCTTCTCCTCTTAATGTGTACGCACTGGTGCATTTTGCCTGACCTTAACATTTTTATTGTGTTATAAGCAGCATTGTTTGTGAATTAAATTTTTTACTGTAATGTTTTTTGTACACAACTTGTGCATGATCACTTTAATTTATTAAACCTTACTCTGAGAAATTAAGCGCTTAATGAGTCGTCTGAATCGCCATAATAAATATCGACATTAAATTTGTGATAAAGTTGCAATAACTGATTTTTTTTTGGCCACTTGGGGGCAGCAGGAAAAAAAGTTCTGACCCTTGGGTTGATGCCTCAAAATTGATGGCAAACAGTTGCATATTCAACAGATACGAAGCAGCATTTCATTTTGGAGGTTAACGTCTGCATCTGTCTGCGATGTTTTGAAAATAGTAAAGCTATAAGTTGGAAATCCAAATCACTCGCTGGGTGTCTGTACCGTAGTTTTAAACACATTTCAAAGTAATGCATCAGACATTTTTAACCGTAACATTCCAAAATATTTCCTCAGTTTCACCTAAAAGTTTTGCCGCTTACATGTTCTGTAAAAAATGTATCTGAACTGCAAAATCTATTAAAGAGAAGCACTGATTCAAATTAGTCTCGTTTATCTTTCTAGCTTGCGGATTGTATTTACTTGAAATCACACTTTTCCCACTAAAACTGGTGTTCAAGTTTCAGCAACAGTGCAAAAAAGTTAGGTTTATTACACCTTTAGCACTGTGACATCATGACGTTCACACTTTCGCAAATTTTTCTGCTGTAACTCAACTGCTGTTTTCATCCAATAGAATATTGAGTCGAGTGATGACATCATGTTTTGTTTGGCTAAAGCGAATACTCCTGTTGGGAAAATTGATCACTTTAAGTTGGCATTTCTTAAAACTACGCTGCAGCAATGCTGACTGTATAGGTATCAATGGTTTAAGTACATCTACTGTAAACCAGTGGTATTAATAAAACTTGCCTACTTGATTTGAATAAACTTAATTTAATTGTGTGTTGCTCGTGAAGCAGTTCATTTAAGTTGGTCCAACAACTCTCTTTTTTCAATGTGAGGTATATGTTTTATGCTCAACAAAGACCTAATGCACACAGTGGGACATGGAAACAACTTTTTTTCAATAGGTTCTAATAAAGCAAACATTTAATCCACACAACTGATCTGTTGTTTCCACCTCTTTGGCTGTTTTAACATAAAACACGACCAACACCAGCTGACACCAAAGCGTGATTACAGCTCACCCGACTAAACATAAATCCTGAAGGCTTTTCTCTCCTTTTATTTTCTCTTTTTTTAAATATTCGGCAAACAATGTGGTTTTTGTTTCTGTCTTCTTCTACTCTATTTATTACACCCCCTGTAGCCTAAAGCGCCACCTTTTGGTGACAGTATGCATCCAAGGTTACTCGCGCCAAAGAAGCTAATAAAAACAAGCCTAATTTGCATGATCCTTCCTTTTATCTTTTTTACTTGAAGCAATTAATGGTTTTCTTTAAATTGGTCACATGGCTAATGAGATAAAACATCTTAATAATGTCTAGAGGAACCACAGAGTTGGGTGACAGTTGTCTTTGAGTTTATCACTGTGAGGAATCCCTTTCACAAATTTATTGTCCATATAAAAATATTCATTTAGCTGTTGAATAATGTAAAGTTATACATGTAGACTCTACCTGGACATGATGATTTCTGAAGTGATGCAGAAAAACATACTAGGTGACATGTTTTTTTCATTAGCATTAGCATTAGCATACACCTTCATGCTGCTGTAAATAATCACCACCAAATAGACTGTATTACTGAAAATAGTCCAACAAAATGATTTTTTTTGTTGAAGTAACATTTCCTGAAACAACCAGCTTTTAAAGGAATTAAGACTTGGTTTTATGGTTTCTTATACTTTAATTGAGGAACAGAAAATGCATCACGTCACATGTGTATTTTAGGTTGCTCTATATAGAAACCACATGAGCACACAGTATGTGTTTGAGGCTGCAGGATGACCCGCACAGTCCTTCACTTTACATATCCAGAATGACAGGTTGTGCCTAAAAGCCTCACGTCACATGACCGTACAGCCCTCTAACAACACATCAGTCACACGGATTCAGTGTGTGATTAAAACCAAACCCGCATCACCGAGGGCAAGAACACTATGCTCTCGGGAGGCTGTTAATTACTGGATATATGTGCAAACAATGTCACATAAAATTTATGAATTTCCGGATTAATTGCCCACAGGTTATGTCTTTCCGAGCAATTTCCAAGAACCACTGGTGCACGTCATCGGTAGCTCTTTATATTATCTCCGTTTCACACTGTTGAGGCTCAGAAGAACCTTTGGATGGTGTTTGTCTTTCACAGTTGATTTTAAATCTTTTTTTTCTTAAACCTCGGAGCTTTCAGGGTGAATTATTATTTCACATTTTTTGGCAGCTCATGCTATATTTCATTTCCAGCCATTCTCTACATTTTAAGTGTTTGCACCTCAAATATCACCACAAAGCCTTTGAGGAGCAATCACTGCTTGACATTTAATCACTCCGGTGTTGTGACCACATCACACTGAGTTAATATAAACCAAATTCAGACTTGTCTCTGGTGATTGTGTGGCAAAATTGGATTTTCATCCAACCGTTTAGCCTCCCCCGCCATTATCAGCCATTTTAAATATATCATACCTTTATCTGTGCTGGGCATTGACTGTGAAAGGGGGTAAACCACACCAATAAAGCTATCAGGCTTTCTATCTCTCAGTCAGATGCTGCGATAACACCATGTTAAAGTAGGGTCTGCCAAATGCATTGTGCGCTGGATGTGCATTATTCACAGCAATGGGACTAAATTTGAAAGGCTGTGATCCATGAGATAAGTGACCTTTCTCTCCTAACCGGATGCTAATGCTCTCCTCCCTGCAGAAGGCTGACCTGAATACATTTTCAGATGTTGAAATGCAAAGAAATATTCAGTTCAACAGTGCAAATTATTTAGAATGTTGATGTTTATTCAGTTTAATTTGCCGGCCAAGTCTTGATATTCATTCATTTATTTATTTTAAACATTATATAGAGAACAAAACAGCATTGAATTGTGACATTTCTGAACAATTTAAATATACATAAACAGTGATTTGTATTTTTTAAAAAAGGTTAGACATGCTTGAAACAAATGACATGCATACCTAGTAACAGAGAAACTACACAAAAAAAGGATTCAAAATAATGAAATATTGGATTTTCTCCTACAGAACAGTGCTGTCCAACATTTTTCTGTATCTGTGTTGGAACAATACATCGCTCAAAGCACATCATCATAATCTCTTCTATGACAATTCTAATCTTTTAATCTTCATCAAGGCATAAACATCCAGTATGTTGTCCAGTTTTCATCCACCCCCTGCAGATATTACATAGGCGCTTTCATTCAGATTCAGTGAACATTCACAGAGCAGATGTAAACACACAGCTCGTAGTCCTCCAGAAGGAGGAATCGCAGTGTGAGGCTTCAGAGTGGCATAATTAACACCGGACAGTGCACCAAAAGTGTCCGGCTGCGACGAGGTCGACTGAGCAAATACAATGAAAGCTTGTCCTGTGGTAAATGACAGACTTGGAGAAAGGCAAAATGGTGCTCGCATGGTGTAAATGCAGGTGACCTGAGTGACTGCAGACTGAGAGAGAGAAAGAGGGGGGAGGGTTGAGACAAATCTCTCTTAATTCACATATTGCCAAAATGGTCATTTGTCCCTAAGTGAGATGAATGAGGCCTGTGGTTGAGTGGCTGGCTGATTGAACGGATCGGGGATGTGAGGAAATTGAGTTGCTTGACCCATCACAGGCCTCACAGGGAGGCGTAGTGAAAAGCGAAGAAGGGATTTGTGGGTTTAACACCTGGCCCCCAGGAAACACAAAGCTGTTTGAGAGTCAGAATTATCTGATAGTGTTTTATTTCTCATGTTTAGGCAACTGGACTTCTGAGGCACTGCGGGAATATTCAATAAATAAGAAGAATCTTCATTATTAACATGAAGAGGTTACTAATGAACACATGAATCTTTAGTTCTCCCTGTTTAGCACATGTGTGTGAACATGAATAAATGTTTTATATGCATAAGTGTTTATTATTGTAGTTTTATGTAATGTTATTGTAGCTGCTCAACCAGTAAAGGCTGTCAGACATGAAATGACAATATATGCAAACACAGTTGTCACAAAAAAAATAGTCTTTACAGAAGAAGCTATAATTGTTGATGGTTATTGGACATTAATAAACACTTGAAACATCCTTAAATCTGCTAATCCCCAAAGTGTAATGTGTTATAAGCTGTTTATTACATTTATGTAGGTTTGTAAATACTATAAATAGGAGGACTTATTAACATATAAAGTGTTGTAGGTCTTAATTTAAATTCTTACTCGATTCTTTCGTGTTAAAAATCACAAATAGCTCACCTGGTTGAGCTGGTGTCCCACGTACAGGGGCTATATTCCCCGATGCGGAGGTCATGAGTTCAAATCCTGCTCATGGCCCTTTTCTGCAGGTCCCTCCCCCATTCTTCTCCCCCACTTTCCTGTCTCTCTCAACTACACTCTCAAATAAAGGCAAAAGGGCCAAAAAAATTATTACAATTTTTTTTAAAAATCACAAATTCAAAGATGGAAAATTAGTCAAATAACTCAAACCTGTGGTGTCCAAAAATCACTTTACATTGGTTCTTATCTAACACACATGTAGTTAATCATTCAAAATATTCCATCCATCTTCCCTTAAGTCTGACTTTAAGGTTTAGGGATTCATGTTCAGTGGAGCCTTCCATGTATATACATGAATTTATATCACAGATTTGCCCTACACATGTGTTCACATATACATGTCTCATGTCGGGTTTTGTTTTTACAACATTCATAAAGTTTTAAGAAATTGCCAATTTTTTTTTCTATCCAACAAGTAATGCTCTGAGGTTCTGTTGCTTTTAGCACAGCACAGCACTCACTGGCATACCAAACACTTTTTTATTTTAATTGAAAAGTAAATTCTTATTTGGTATAGAATTTAAGCTCTGTGCTATGCTAGTCGACCTAAAGCAAATGCATATTGCCTGACCACACACTGCACAAAATGGAAAAGCTTCTCCATTTAATAGTAGTTCCTACAGCAGAAGTGTAAATGCTCAAATTTCCATTTTGTTTCAATAGTTGATGGGGATTGTGTAATATAATGTAAAACCATTGTGGTTACTAAATTAAACTCTTATTGTTCTAGTCGCTGTTCTCAAGATCAAAAATGTTAAAAAAAATTAAAACTAGTCAAAACCTGAAGCTTTACAATCATCTGAATGATGTCACCTCAGTTCAAATCATCTATCACACGTGAACATACTTCCCTCTAACATTCAGTTTTCCATGTAATCTCTATCACAGGAGTCTGTAAATAAGTATTATATGTACATACGATTCATGTAAACATTTCAAGGCTTCAAAATAATAGTTTATCACAGATACATGAAAAACTGACAGCGGCCAGCATGCGTCGTGTCTTTTGCACCTCCAAGTTGTGTGTGGCCAACTTCGCGATGGGATATTTCAGTGCTGGATTACTCTGGCACGCTGATCTCATAACACACGACAAAGAATGCGGCCCTCTCAAATGACAAGCATTGGCAGCCACTCATTCACATCCGCTGTCTGACAATAACAACAAGGCTGCCAGTGGAGAGCTTGGAGGTTGTACAGTAAGTCATTTGCCAGCGTTGAAAGAATGTTTTAGGTGGGTCAAACCCTTTTCAATTCTCAAGTGGTCAACGGGCAGCGTGTTGTGGTCGGATCGTGGTTTTGGATGCCTGAGCTTATTGGCAAGAATGAACGCTGTGTTTTCCATTTTTCACCTGGTCGTTCTAGCAGGTAAGTGGTTGCTACATACAGAAAATATATGTCCTGTTTGCTTTGTTTAGGTTTGTGTTGACTGAAGTTAGAGAAGGTTATATTTACAGATAAACA